TGCTGGATCAGCCTAAAACCACGACAACAAGAGTGGAGGAGGCAAGAAAACAGAAGATTTTATACTCCCAGCTAATGCAAGATGAACTCCAGATGTCCCTGTGTCTTTTCAGCATTATTAGAGGAGAAACAGCTAATAGGAGTTCTAAGAGTTCAAGTCAAATGTGTAAGGCTATGCACACAAACACACTGAAGTCTGTCCTGGAGACTTACTATTTCAGTAGAAATGGTTAAGGAAAAATGGATGAAGGGAGAGAGACAGAGGACTGAAGTGGGCGAGCACAATCGGATCAAGAGTCCATGTAAATCCGGTATCTCTTTGCTAACAGTCACTGTAAGACTAGGGGAGGGTGGAGAAGAACATACAATTCTTCCAGTCCAACACTTCCAGCCTTCCCCTTCACCTTTCAACCACCTTCTGGTTGGGGATGTCTCAAGTCAGATGTGGTTTCTGTGTATTTACCAAGAAATTTCTCTCCTGTTGTCCAGTGAATGCATACAAAGAGATGCAGAGAGAACCAACTGCACAAAGAACCAATTTCTTTCAGAACTATTTTCTTTTGTTTTGAGCTTAACTCTTACTAGTCTTGTCTGAAGCCATTTGATCTACCTGTGTGAACGACTGTATCTACTTCCATTCTAAAAGTAAGTACAAAAGCTCCCTTACTACTTACTTCGCTGAAGTTTAGGAATGAAGTTACATGTGATCTACCAGTGACTCACCAAGCTCACCTACAAGTTTCGGTAGATAAGCTTGATAAGTAAGCCAAACCATACGTTCTGTAGATTGTGATGGTCAGAAGCAAAGAATTCATGGTTCTTCTCTTTGGTTTCTCTTTGAGTTCTGTTGGTGTTTTGGTGTGGTGTTTGGTTTTTTTTTTTAATTTGAAATCACTTACTACTCTATAGGAAATGCAAGGAAATAAAAGTTTTCATAAATACTTAGTACAAGTCACGCACACATTTAACACAGGATACAGGTTTTGTATTTTTCATGATTCTCACACTTTCTCCATAATAGAATACACTATTACGTCAACAGCATGTTTGATAGAGTGCGGAAGATTTTACCAAATTGAAACCCAAATTATCTGCTTACTTAATAATAATATTATCTACTTACTATTTGTGATTTCCTTGGCATTGGTGCTGGTGGCTGGATTTGTGCCAAAGTATTTGTTGTAGAACCAGTCTGTGTTACTGGAATTTCACATACAGACTCTCCTGCTGCTAAGGTAAGTAAAACAAGTAAATTTTAGGCATGCTTTAAAAAAAAGTAAGAGTGATGACACAAATTGAAACCAAATCAATTATTCTTTAAAGGATATAAATAATTTTATATCCCACAAGTATTTCATTTTTTTAATAGTTCTTTGTAAATAACTGAACAGAATTTTTCTATCCTTCTCCTTACCAAAATGGCCTCTTTTCCCAAAGACAATTACTGAAGACCTTTAATACTGTAGATATGCTAAAAGAGAAAGAAGCCTATAAAATAGATGAAATACATATATGGAATATAGAACCAAATATTCCATTTCCCCATTCATTCACTGCAGGCTGTGTGATTTTAGAATCCTTCTTTCCTAGTAAAGACCTGCTGGAAAGCAGGACCAGAGGCAATGGGCACAAAACGAAACACAGGAGGTGCTCTTTGAACAGCAGGAAACAGTTTGTTACTGTGAGGGTGACTGAGCGCTGACACAGGATACCCAGGGAGGCGGCTGTGGAGTCTCCATCCTTGGAGATATTCAAAGGCCATCTGGACATGGTCTTGGGCAACTGGCTCTGAATGGCCCTGCTTGAGCAGAGGGGTTGGGCCAGATAACCTCTAGAGGTCCCCACCAACCTCAACCATTCTGTGATTGTTTCTTATTACTTGGCCCCTTTATTTACATTAATTGGCCCGTAACTCTGTGCATGCAGAAGAGCTTGAGGCATCAGGGCATAGGCAAACAAGAAGAGAAACAAGAATGCTGGTGCTGACTGTATTTAAACATGTAAGGTAAATAAAAACCACATTCTCCTTTGGGCTGTTATAATGATAGCTTAATTATAATAAAATAAATCTCTAAACCACAATTACCAGTTTGTTGTAGAGACCCAAGTCCTCTGGACTGTCCTTTGTTAGTTAAGCCAGACGACTTCTCAGTCCTGTGCAGACAGTTAGAAATTCATCCATTTAAGAAACAAACAAGAACTTGAACTGCAACAATATAGAGTATTTTCCAAATTATAACATTCCTATCATGTCTTCAGTATCTCCCAGTGACAGCTATTTTGCTTTTAAAAATACTACTTTGCTTCCATATTTTTGATTACGCCATTCATCACCTGCACTTCATTTAAAAATGTAAAGCAGAAGAGTAATATAGGTTCTTAAATTACTTCAATTTGTGTAGAGCTGATTCTCTTTTCCTAAGTTCTGAAGTTCCTTTTACTGGTGTTTTAAAATTATTTGTTAAAATTATGGATCCATATTAATCTGTACATTATATCAAGCTTCAGCAAGTTGCTTCTCCCTTTTCCTTAGTATGGTATATGCAATCAAAGGACTAGAAAGGGAGCTCAAAGGTCAAAGGTTGGTTACCTCTTTCATTCACAAAAGATTAACCATGTATATTATTTAGCTTACATAAACACATACACGTCCCTGCATCTTGTAACTATCTAAGTTTGTATTGGCTGTACTCTGCCAAATTTTCAGTGTCAGAAAATCCAAAAACTTCCCAGACAAGTTACTTGGGTATTTCCCTATGCTTATTTTTGGAAAGCTTTCCAGTGTCTAACTAAATTATTCTTGCCACAACTTAAACAAAAGTCTTCTGTTTTAGAGCCACCATGAGATGTATAATCTGCTGTTCTCCATGCTTCGTTTAGTAGTTGATTGTCCTTTAGTACTAAGTGTTGCTTACTGAATGACACCCCTCTTCTCCCTTGACTACTACTTCAGTTTCTCAAGGCTGCTTTGGATATAATCCTGTTTTCCAAGTACACTTGTCCCTCCTAACTTTGTTTCCTGCAAATTTAAAAATGGTATCTTCCTTTCCAGGTCTCTCTACTCCTGCCATGAATGAAAATATTGAATGGAATTGAACCTATGCAAAGCATGTGAACAATAAATGGCACAATCAGACATAAGATCCCATTATCTCTTCTTTGTTATTAGCTGAGAATTAGAAATGGATTATTCTTTGTGGCTTCTTATTTCCATCACTTCTAAGCACTCTGTAGATATTCTGCAAGTCACACAATGTTAAGTCACTAGGCTGCCTTGTTTTTACTGTGGGAATCCTTGTAATCTGCTCCCTTACTGTTTGCCTTCTGTTCATTCCCATACTCTAGAACACATCATTGGCAAAAGTATGCATGCTTTACAGACGACTTGCATGTTATATATCATAAAATTGAAAAGTTACTAATAATTATGAAGTATATTAAATACTGAAATGACATCAGTTACCCAGGAATAGGCTTTCTTTGTGAGATTCTACTGGGAGGTTGTGGGGGCAGTGGTGGTGGAGTTGGCTTAGTTTGTGGAGGAGCTGGTTGCTGTTTAGATTGCTGGTTCAAAGCTTCTATAATGCTGGCTGTCTTTGCCACTGGAGGTGGTGGTGCTGAAGAAAGCACATCTATAAAAGAAAGACAGTGAAATGGAACTAAATTTCTATTTACCATTTTGTTTCTTTGGTTCTCATCCACAGGTTTTCCTGTGACAGGATTTACTCCATCCAAGAAAAATGCTTTACTACATGTAATCAATAACTTAAACAGAAAGTGATCCTTCCATTGGAAGGAGGACCTCTTTGGAAAGAAGCTTATCTTTTGTTTCACCTAGTCAAGGTCAGAGAGCTCACAAGTACTTCAATTCATTCAAGCATTAAAGTACCAGGAAAGAAAAAGTGCTAATATTGTTTGCTCAATCAAGGCCTTCAGTTTGTGTTTTATGGAAAAGTAACTGAGTGAATAATAGCTGAGAAATTTTATTGAGAGGAATGTCTTTTCTTAAAATCCTGTTACAATTAACATCTAACTAACATCACATTAGGTTTAGCAATTAATTAAAATTTTTACTGAATTCTTGAAACCACCACAACGGCAGCTGGCAATGCATTAAAACATGTTTTTGCATTCCTATGGTCTGCAAGAATCAAGCACGGTGTGGAGACATAGCCCCAGGCCTACATATAACACTCATCTTCGCAACTAGTGAGCAATGCAGCGCTGATACTGTCTGTAAAAGTGAAGATGTCTTCAGCTCTAGTATTTCCTCTTCAGCTCTAGTATTTCCTGTTGACCCTGTACCACACCATACAGTCCTCACTGGAACATCAGAGAAGACAATTCATATCATACAAAGTTACTGGATGGGAATGATAGGCCAAAGCTACAGTCACCAAAAGAGGAAGTATGAGTTGTGGAAATGGAAAAATAAGCCAACCATGATTAGATACAGCAGAAGGGAAAACAGGGGAAAGTGGAAACATACTTGTAGATGTTACACGCAATGGCGGCACAGGGGGATGAATAGCTGGTGGATCTGATGAAGACCTCTGCCTGCTTATACTTTCCACTCCTAAAGAATTTGTCTTCCACATTGCATTAGATGAAGAAATTGTCTGAATACCACTGCCAAGAACTGAAGGCTGAACTAAAAAGAGAGGAAAATACTGTATTATTATTATTGCTTACCCTAAGCACAAAGTGTTAACGTTCACACTTGTGCTTGTAAAAATGGTGCAGCTAGACCGCTATATTCAGCCATAGGAACCACTGCCATCCTGCTGGAATGCCAGAGCAGAAATCAGAGTCTGGTGTAAAAAACTACATAGAAGTTTCTGGGTGAAGTCTTACTAACACTTTACCTAAGTAAAATTTGTCTCCAGTCATTACTTCAAAATATGTCAACACTTGAAAAAGCAGAAATTTCTCCACAAGACGACAGAAGGCAAGTCTTGCTACCTTCTTTAATCCCTGACTGATAGCTGTCATCTCAGGTACTGCAAAGAAAAGGACCTCACTCTCGCATGAGCATTAGCAGACATTGCTGACTCAAAACGAAACATTGGTTTTGACTTGGAATTGACATAAAACTGTAATTCTGAATTTGACCCAAACACGATGCTATAGTAACTAGTCATGAAATAGTTACAATATATGACTTCTTCGGGGCCTCATAAATGGCTCCATTTCTCAGGCTGAGGAGCTGCCTTCCCATTTCATAAAAACACACTACAAGTTTTCTTCATAAAGCGAATATTTTGCACATATCAGGCCACTTCTCCCTACTCAGCACATGAGCATCATATTAAGAAAAGATGAAACAGAGTAAGGTATGAATAAATATTAGGTTGCAGGGAAAAGCATAAAGGGCTCAAAAGACTCGGAGAACAGCTTAAAGCTAAGAGGATAAAGGAATAATAACACACCGTAAGCATAACATCAACAACATCAGCAATCAACAAGAAGCTAAGATCGATGATACTATTACAGCTTTTAACTAAGAATAAAAAATAATAGGCTAATACATTGCTAGAGTAAAGAATGTGAGCTAATAACCTAAGCCAGGCAGCATGCTTTCTTGGCATGAGTTGTGCTATACCGGTGCCAAGAAGTCTGGGGTTGGGAATGAATTTAAAATGACACTCTTTGAATAGTGTCATTTAATCAAAGGCAAATAGCAGGTAAAATAGTATGGTTGGCTATGATTAAAATAATATCAAAGGGTAAACCAGTCTTTTTAACTATCCAGTTGTATTACTAATTTAGAGATAGAATCTAACAGTTAAACATACTACACAAGCTCCTTGGGTGAATCTTCTTGTTTGATGGGGGAAACATTCCTTTCCATCAAGTAAAAAAAGCGTCTAGATAGTAAGATTAGACTTCATGCAAAAACATTAGATGAAAGGCATCCCACCTTGGCTAAATTTTATATGCTGCTGAAATTCCCCCAGTCTCATGCCACCCTTTCAAAGTAACCCAATATCATGCTGTTCTCTTGTTCTCATTTTTTCTGTTGCCAAAATAACATATTTTAATCCGACTTATGCTGCAGCCATTCCTGTGAGACTGATAACTGACTTCTCCTATTACACAAATGTTGAATTTGCCATCTCAGACACAAGCACTGGTGTATGGAGTCTTGCATTCTGACCTCTGCACAGTGATCCCAAAGGCAGAAGCCACTCACATACGCCTACTATATTCCCCGCTTCTATCTCCTCTTACGGAGTCTGGATTATAGCACCACAGAAGATCATGTGGTTACACAGTAATTTTTCTTGAATTGAACTTTCCATAAATTTAGCATCCATGAAAGATGCTGGATTAACAAAGGTATTAAAACAATGAAACGCACTGAACATGTACAGTACAAAGAGGAGCTACACAGATTTCTCTACGCTTCTTCAGTATGATCTGAACAGATTATATACGAAGACAAGAACGAAGTTCACAGCATCACTCTGCAAGCACGCGACCCTTCTGAACCAGGATGAGACATGTGCATTTTACATTGTTCTGCTGATCAGGGTATAACCAGTACGTTTTCAGTCAGCTACCAGCTCTCCACATCATGACACTTCTACTTCTACTCCAACAACCTTGAAGCATGTATTTTTTAAAAGATGACTTTGCAAGGTTAAAATCTCTCATGTTCTGCATACACTCTCCATTCTCCCAGGTCTTAAAACAATTTTTCACAGCAGCCAAATGCTACTGAAATTGTATGTTTAAACTGAACGCTGACAATGGCATCTTCAAGAAACAGAAGTATGAAAAGATGGAATGTAACAAAAAAAAAAAAAAAAAGCTGAACTAAATTAACTGCAGCCCTCCTTTTAATAAATAGTTTAACTCTATTCAGGTTACCTGGGCATTGTTTTCCAAAATACTATTGGGTACTTTCTTGCAGGTATAGTGAAAATCAAACTAGAACAGGTTGCGTAGATTCACTTCAAATATATAAAATGAAGTCAGCAATAAGCAGTTCCAATACTTACTTGCGTAAAAGAAGTGTAAAAGAAAACCTAAAAATGTAATAATAAAAAAATGTTATGATCCCATTCTTCTAACACACAACTATATTTTCTGGTGTTAGTACCTTTGCCAATATTCCTTGGAGGTAGAGGAGGTGCACTACTTGTAACAGGTACTGCAGGCTGAATGGGAGGTGGACTGCCACTGAGTATTGCTCCATATGTTTCATTCTGCAATATACTTGGCATAAATCCTCTTTGCTTATCCTTAGCAATGTTCGCTGCATCTCTTGCCAAGGATGCTACATTAGGCTGAAGTTGGTTTGATCCAAGTTGATAGAAGCTGACAGGTCTGTCTTCTCTCCGATTGGGGCTGGGTTGCTTAAACATAGTAACAAAAGTACTTACTGATACCACATTAGTTGTACTCATTTTATTTATTAATTGATAGACAGTTATTAGCTTCCATGAAGAAAAAATGGCTTCTAAAACGCATTTTTGTTGCTTTTAATACATAATCTAAAACCTATATTCTGCCCTCTTCCAGACAAAGTAACCATGCACACTAACAAAAAAAAATTAAATGTGAATTGCATTTCAAAACACTTATTTTCTCATTTTCTCCTGTAGTGTACTCCTACAGGATAATACTGTATCCTAATATACACAGGACTATACTCCCATAGATAGTCAATACAGAAATATTCAGACTGGATCAAGTGAAGTTTCCCTGCATCAAAATACAACACGATATTTTCAAAAGCAAATAAACAACTGAAGACCATAAGCCTCATCTGAAGTTCAGCAGCGTTAGATCCCAAATAGATGATCACAATCTCAAAAACCAGACGTCTAAGTATCCTACTTGTAGTTCAGTCTACAAAAAATTAGGAGCCAAAACTTCTCATGAACTCTTTTTAGCTCACTAATACTGCTGGACAAGTTTGAGAGATTACTTCAATTGGCAGCTGGGATGGAACATTGCTCATCCCATGCACATTATCAAATGAGATCTAATTAGTTGTCTTTGAGATTTACAGCGAGTCATCTGCTTGCTATGCACACTTAGTATTATTTTTCCTGTTTCAACAACAAGCATAGTAATTACTGTTATCAAACGATAAATAAAATAGCTGAAGTTACAAATTCATGTGGTTAGTACAGGAATGGGTTGTGACAATCCATAGCTCAGAGAGCGTAACTATGCCTTCAGAAATAGTGTTAGATAAACACGTTGCTGACGTACTGTCTGTCTGAAATTAAAATCACCATTTATATTAATAGCATTTAGGCAGAATAAAGATTTACTCCAAAATTATTGCAAATAAGCAATCGATTTTCCCTGAATATATTAAATGCTTACTCTGGATTGATCATGTATGGCCTTTAGACATGTTATAGCAGAGCATTATAGTTCAAAGATTTATCAGAATTATGTACATGACAGCCAGACGCATTAATCCCTACCTTCACTTCGGTTTAGCAGCTTCACTCCTCACTGGCTGACAGTCTCCATTCCCTGACCTCTCCACTGTCCTGGCTCTGATATTTGTTTCAGCCCACACTTGCTTCTGCTTTCTAAACCAGCAGAAAATTCTTTTTTGTTTTGTTGATTTAGGTTCTCACTGGTTTACTAAATTGAAACAGCTCAACACAGAGACAAATGTGCCAGAATGGAGGCAAAAGATGAGGTAGGACCAGGCAGCTGGGATGTGGAACAAGAGCAGAAACCAGATGGATTGTCTTAGCCTTCTTTCACTTTAGACTCTCCTTTATATGAAAAATTCTGGAGTAAAGAAACTTAAATTTCAGACATGACCTTTTCTGACAAAGATTACAAAAACTATTCAATCGCTTTACCAGAAACAAGCCCAATGGCTTGACATCTATAAACAGAACTGTGCTGTGATCCCAAGCAACAGCAGTATTCACCAGGGCATTCAATGTAGTCACAGACACTCGTCTGTGATTAATAGTCCTTAATCTCCTTTCAAAAGTCCCTGTAGTATAAGCCTATTAATAGCGGGCAGTGAAGCAGCAGTTCCATTACTTTAGTCTCATTGCTGAGTAGTAGATAAATTCCTATACAAGGTGGAGCTCAGGGACTCGTCAAAAAGAGAACGCTCAAGTGCAGAAGGCAACTGGCAACAATGAAGTAAGTGAGGGAAAAAAACAAATCAAAAACATCAATTTAGAGTGTCTCGGAAAGGGATTTGAGAGATATCTACTTGGAAAATACCCAAAAGGTTTTACAGCTGGAAAAAATGAAATTTCTAAAACATAACAAAGTTTCAAGCTGCTTTATCAAAAAGGTCATTATTATTGCTGTTATTATCTGGATAATGATACAATGTAGAGGAATACATAAATACTGGGATATAATATGAACGCTCACCCAGAAGAACTGGATTTAGCAGCTCGCAGATTCCAGATTCTTGCACAGATGCCTAAACTCTCAAGAAAAATCTTAAGAAAATTCTCAGAAGGTAGCATTGTGCTTTGAAAGGGAGGGCCTATGACACATTTTTTGCTCTTTGTTGCTAACTCTAGTTCAAGTCGAGCACCAGAGGTTATGGCTATCTTGGACTGAAGAGGCAGGACATGGGGAGAGGAATCCTATGCAGACAAGATCTTGCAAAAAGTGTATTTTGCAATAGAGGAAACTTACTGACTTCAAAATCAGTTTCCAAAACATCAAGCCAATTCAATGGTCTGACGGCCTAGCATTTTTAAAGACATTCTGTGAAGGCACAGAAAATGAACCTGTGACTGTCAGGTTTTAATATTTCTGAAAACAAAAAAAACAACCCCACCCAATACACAAGATTTGGTTTTATGTTATTAATTATGTATTAGCGATTCATGCCTTAGGTGAGATGGGGGACTTTGTAAGTTTTAAAATGCTAAAACCTGTAGAAAGAAAAAAGTCAAATTTCATCACTCAGAGGAGAAATGTTGTCAGCTACTTTCAAGAGAAAAAAAGGTTGTGCTAACATCTGAAGATGAACTAATATAAAGCCTATTGTGTATTCCTCGCACTTTATAAAGGAAGCAGAAAAGGCATAAGTAATTATAACACTGCACACACAAAAAGCACAAAATCATGTTCAATACTTATATGGAATACTTCAAATTACGAAAGTTTCAGAATGTCGTTAGTATTCAGGAGCCTTTATATAATTTCAAATTACTTGGCCCCAAGGAATCCAAGCCATTTTTAAGTGTTCTTCAAGTATCAAGGACTTTTCAGCTGCCATGTTCTTGCCAGTGTGCAGGAGCACAACAGGATAGAGGGGAGCATGGCCAGGACGGGGGGTCCACAACTCTCCTTATGATTTGTACTTAGACTTAGGATTGAGGGACGAACTGGCCAATTAGTATTTCATATCACGCAGCGTCATGTCCAGTATAAAAGCGAGGGACAGCCGGAAAGAAGGGCTTTTGCTTTTCCGGGGCTCTCACTGTCAGACTCTCAGAGTGCCTTCTCTCTCTGTCTCGCTCTCTATTTTCGGGCCTCTCACTCATCCAGGATTGCGGTGTCGGGACTTATCTGTTTCGGGATCATTAGTTCGGGATGAGACGGGCCTCGGTCAAGGGGTGGTGAGCAATTACACCGTACATCACTCATTTGTATGTATTTATCATTGTACATATATGTATATATTCATATAATAGTAGCAGTAGTATTAAATTGTTCTTATCCCAACCCTCGGGTCTCTTTTTTTTTCCTTTTCTCTTTTAATTCCCTTCTTCATCTTCCTCATTCCCGGGGGTGGGGGGGGAGGGTGAGCGAGCGGCTGTGTGGAGTTTAGTTGCCAGAGCGGCCTAAACCACGACACTGGAGATATTCAAAAGCCATCTGGCCATGGTACTGGGCAACCAGCTCTAGGTGACCCTGCTTTAGCAGGGGGTTGGACCAGATGACCTCCAGAGGTCCCTTCCAACACTAACTATTCTGTGATTCTGGACCAAATAGCACCACAACACCACCAGAAATTTCAGGTATGAAAAGGGAGAAAAAAATATTTTTACATGAAGATTCAGAATTAAGACCATACTCTGCTATTAACAGACATGGCCTATTTAATGCACAATTTCATTCCACTGAAGACAAGCCAGTGCATAAACTGTTCCAAAATAAAAGCCATTGACTGGAGCTGTTCCACAAACTATAAGGTGCCTCTCTTTGTAAAGACAATTCTCCTAGCTCATGTTAGTTCTGCTTCATGATCAGCAGATCTAAATATTCCTGATGTATTGAAACAAACTACTGACTCGAGTCCATTTAGAAAAAGATATCACACCTGGCTAATCATAATTTACTCATCACCACATCGTCACGTTTTGTACATTACATTAAAGAGGAAGAAGAAAACAAACTATAATTTAAGGAACTAAAATTTAAGCTACTACATTTTAGTACAAAACTTTATTTCACAGTGTCTTCATACTTACAGTAAGAAGTAGTGTTACTGAAATCATTATGATGTTACACAGATACGTGTACAGAAAAATAATTCATTGATACAAACCTGCAGCTTTTCATCCACATCATCATCACTTTCATCCAGATCTTCATGGAGTAACCGCCATTCATATTCTACATGAACATGAGAATTAAATCTTCCAGACAGTGCTTGAGTAAGCTAAGGAAAAAAAGATGACTGTTGACACCTATGTTATGTACAGTACTTATTTTAAAACAACACATTTAAAAACAAACAAAAACCACATATAGAAGGAACTTTGGTTTCCAAATACAAATATTACTTTTATTTTGAAAACAGATTCCAATAAGCTGGAAAGTTACTTCACTGGGGTAATTTTAAAGAATGAAGCTCTGTGACCAAACACAACACAAATACATCAAAAGCAACTAGGCTCTTCATTAACCATTGTAGGTCCATTCTCCATTTTCTGACAATAAGCACCACATCCTATTTGCTTTGATTTAGAAATTACAAGTCAAAGAAATTAACTGCAGTGACAGGTTTTTTTGAGTCAGACTCACGTATCAAGAAGCCTTGACCCCACTAATTCATTTTTCTTGCTTACTAGAAGTAGTGACAGTAGCCAACTTCTCTTCGCAGAATCACAGAATGATTTGAGTTGTAATGGACCTTTAAAGACCATCTAGTCCACCCACCCCTGGCAGGAGCAGGGATAACTTTTACTAGATCAGGTTGCTCAAAGTCCCATCCAACCTGACATTGAGCATTTCCAATGATGAGGCACCCATAACTTCTCTGAATATGAGAATTCATGAGATGATGAATGTGAGATGAATGTGAGAGAAACAAGAGAAAGACCTTCATCCGTGGCCTTCACCTATAAAAAGTACTTCAGTGATTAGATTTCAACGGGATGTCAGACACTTGTGGATCTGAGACTAATAGCTTAAACAGAATCATCCCCTGGCTCCAAGAAGCTTAGCATTTTCAAAGCATAAAAAAGAAATATAAAAAAAGAAATATAATTTTCTTCTTAAAAGAATATAACTTGATATAACTATTTCTAAGCATGCAACTATTCCATCTGGAATATATTCGTTGAATATTCAACTGTAAACTGTTAAATATTCAGACATGATTCTACTTATAAATGCACAAACACACAGAAAGATGTGACACTTACCAACTCTTCACAGTGAGTATGTTTCAAGCGTTTAGCTATATCAAGTGGTGTCTCTCCTGATTCATTAGCTATATTACAGCAAGAAAGAAAGTCATGATGATAGGCATCATTAACACGTCCGTTACTAAAGATAAAGGCAAACCTGCAGGTACACAGTGAAGAACTAGACCAACACACTCTGAAATTCATCTCTTTCCTTCATATGTAGGCCCACCTCATACCAACCCTCTGAACATGACAAACAGTAGCAGCTCAACATGCCATATATATGGAGGGATAGCCATGAAATGGCAGTATATAACTCAGCAACAAGATATAAGTTGAAAATCTTGGTAATTCCTTATCTAAATTTGTTTAAAAAGCAAGTGTAATGTATAAGTCAGTTTTAAACTTGAAATAAACAGTGAATACTGATTTTTCTTTTTTATAATGAAGATTATATTCACAGAATTACGACAAACTGAGGAGAAAGTGCACTTATTCCATTGTCACTGTTTCTTATCTGAAGCAGTGACAACCACGAAATCAAAGTACGCGTTACCCTTTTACCTATCTCAATAGAAGCCTTCCCTCTCAGCAGCAGTTTGAGGCACTCAACGTTGTCCGTCAGACAGCAGTAATGCAGGGCTGTGCTACCTTTACACGTTTGCTTATCTAGATTGCCACTATTGGAGTACAAGAAAGAAGAAGAAAGCTGATTAAACTTACATTTCCTACTCTATATTAATAATTCCCTCTCAGTACAAGATTTTCGAAGAATAAAATTACACTTGCAAATACTGGAATTTTAGTATTTCTATTCATTTAGTATTTCTGTTACTTGACATAAAAGCAGTATCCGTAACATTTTATTAGCTTTCCATACACTTACCTGTTCTGCACTAAAAAGTCAACTATATGAAGGGATGTTCGATCAACTGACCTAACAGCAAGGTGAAGTGCTGTTTCGTCTTGCTCCTAAGAATAAAATAAAAGAACACATTGGTTTCTTCTAATCTACAGAGAAGCAGAAATTTTACTAAAAAATATATTAGACCGATTAAAACATTTAATTTCAAAATATTCAGACATGCTACCATTAAAAGATCTCTTGTGAAGACTCTTATTGCTTCTCTTTTATTGCTTTAAAGTAAACAAATGGATTGAAAACAAATAGATTATTGAATGATTTACTGTTTAATGTTTTAATACATTTAAAATATGACAGTATTTGGAATCAATTTTAGATTAAACTATTTAATATCTTCTTTTGTTATTGCTAAACTACATAATCAAAAAGACGAATGTTCAGAACAGTGTTTTAAATCTTACTTTCAAATAAGAAAAAATTGTCCTTTTTAATTAATGAAAGTATATCGCACTTACAACAATTTGTACAATAAAATTTACAACACTTACATGGCCGTTGGCCAGGGGAATTTTTTCTGTGAGATCCACACCGTCAGCATATACTTGGACTAATCCAAGAATGTCTCTTGATTTGACTGCTTCACAAAGAGCATGTAATTTAGCTGCATTGTCAGCATGCTTTTTCCTTGCATATTTTCTCTCAATGTACTTGGCAGTAATATAATCTTTTCTTGCGTTCCTGAAATTGAATATAATTCGCTTCTGTAACTTTTAGCAGAACATAACACATTAGAATTTCCATAAATACATGCAAGTAATTTGAAATAAGATCTGGGAAAGACTATTTCTCATTCACTATGATAATTTTTCTTTTTAAATATTCATGTAAAACATGCAGTCTTGTATTTCCGGTATGAAATGTAGCTACAGAACATGAATCAAATATCCAACACGAAGACAGACCATAAATTTTCCCCTCTGAACTCTAGTGTGAAGTTGAGATCAAGATTACCCAGCTCTATGTACAGAAGATACATCAAAGCTTCATACTGCTGGTTTGCTAACAGCAGCCTGGCAGGTTTATGTTTACCTGACTTGTACTTCTACACATGCTGGAAAAGGATGGAAGGCACGGGATACATAAATCTGTCTTAGACCTCTGCACAGACTACTCAGGCCTTGGATCTGTATTCACAGCATGTTCTGTAAAGCAACTCTTCACCACAACCATAACAGGGAGGATGTAGTGGAGTTTTTATTTTCACCTCTAAACTGAGGTAAAAACTTAGTAAACCAGCTTGCTGTTGATACTCAACTAACAAATAACTACTCCTCTTCCCATAACAGCAAGACAGGAGCCTGCATGCATCCCAAAGGCATAACTCCTTACCAACTCTTGGGATGTACACAACATTGCACAGAAGACACTTAGCAAAGCCATACTTTATCATCTAGATACTATATAATGGGCAAAAAGAAAAAAATTCAAATAATAATAAATTGAATCGATGGATAGCTCTTGTTCCTAAAGCATATCACAGTATTCCTTCATAGTTTTTAAAAAATGTTTGTCTTCAGGTTGTCATTTGATTAAAAAACCCCCCTGAAAATTGATATGAAGATGTATCAATGATTTTTTTTAAATATCATTTTTTAGAAGTCTTTTTATGCTATTGATTTAGCATTCAGTAAAAGTATTGGGAAATTTAATTATTAATATTAATATTCTGTATTATTACTGATAGTTGTATTCAAAAATCATTTCAACTGCATGGTTTAACATTGATTGTGTCAGAATGGTGAAAGTCCAGATAATGTAAAATCAGCTTCATCCAAAGCCAATTATTGTGGATTTGTTTCTGTATCATTTACTAGCTCTTTTACGATGGAGTAGTATCCAGCCAAGTAGGCAGCTGTCCTTGCTGTGTCTCTGCCACCACAGTTCAGTGTTTTCGAGGAATTCATTTAAATGTTCTGTCTTTGTTCCACATGGTTACGGACGCAAGTCCTGGGTGTCGTTTCTAAACACTGGGTGTTCAGTATCTTTCAGGTAAAATGTGTATCTTATTCCAATTCCTCTTTCACGTTTAAATAGCTCTGTTTTTAATCCCTACTCTTGTGTGTGTTTAAAATTCCCAACAAGTCATGTTTAATTTGTTTCTGTCCCACAAATCATGATTCAGAGAGTTGGTAAAATAATCCTTACTATTAGGGAAGGTACAATCAGATAAAAGTTCAATAAAACAGACATGCAAAGCATCAGAAAGAAAGTTTACTTCTTGGCTAGAAGGCCATCTATAAGACTTTATACATCTTCCATGGCCTGCTAGTGCAAACCATAATGGTACAACCCATTAGCAATATTAAATGAAATGCCTGCCTTTTTCAGAAGTAGCGGCTCTTTACTTACATATCACTGCTTGGATTAGGTTTGACCATCTCATCAACTGGCAGACAGAATTCCATAATTTCATTAAAACCAGCATTCCCAATATTCTTTGCAAGCTGTTAAAAAAAAAAAATAGTCCACAGCTCACTTAATATTAACATGTTCAGTTATTGGCCATGCACATACTAGTGGGAAGACAAGGGAAAATGGGAGTTGGGACTTTTTGGTTTTGATTCCTAGTTCTGCTACTATAATGAACTGATTAGGTACCTTTTTGGATGGCAGTCTTCAGCTGCAACATAACACACAAACAAGTAACTGCAGAACAATCCATCAAGACACCAGTTCATATAATAAACGCAAAACACTTTGTGCTGGGTAAGAACACACATATGAACTGTCATAGAGCAGCTGATTTGTGGTAACATCTCTGTGTAGCAAACCTGAATACATTTTCTTCCTTTGAGCATTAAAATTCTCTTCTAAAACAATGCTAAATAATTAATGGGATAAGTATTTGTGAAGTCCTTTAATTTTTAATCTGAGAGGCACATTTATACATCAGACAGCTGTCTTCTTTTAAAAAGCAACCAAGGGTAAAAAGACTTGGAAACACAAAAAATATGAAGCCTCTACTAATTTGAATACTAAGATCAGGCAAAGTTTCCAGTAAGACACTATGTTCCAGGAGGTTCTGTTAAACTCGAAGAATTAAGCTTTCTTAAACTATGTTTACCCAGAGGCAACTTTCAAGATTGGAACAACACATCATTAAAGTGACAAAAATATACTTGTGTTAGAAGTGGTTTATAATATCATTTTTAAGTTAATAAAAGCAATTTGATTACCAAAAGTTCAGATGTTCCCAGCACATCTAATGTAAGTGATTGCATTCTTGAATAGTGAACACCAAGTTCTCTATGGATTCCTGAGCATTCAATGCAAGTTAGAATTCCCAAATTTGTTGAAAGCCAGGTAGGATCTGAAACAGAAAGCACCCATAGAATTAAAATTTATTTGGGTAATTATATCATTCTAGAGAATGTAGTATACAGAAATGAAATTCTGTAAAATAAGATTCTTGTACATGAATTATCAGTTTTTTTTTAATTTATGTCCTTACATTTACTCTGTTGGGAAACACAAACCAAAATATTTTTTTTTAATGGTGAAAGAAGTGAAGATTCAAATTTTTTTTTGTTTGTTTGTTTTTTTTTTGTTTTTTTGTAAAGGACATCACCTTCCAAGGGGGCTGCTTAAACAGTCCAGTTTGTCATTCTCCACATGGCTTTCAGGAACTGCATTTTTCCACCACCAATATAATGGTGTCACATTCTCAACCGGGGGTATAGGTGCAGTTCACACTGAAATAACAATGCCTTTTTTTGTATTTCAACCATAGGCTTTAGACTAAGTGAAGCAGCAGTGATTCTGAAGTATACATACAGCACCACACTACAATGGATTCTCATTCCACTATTTCAAAGATACTATGACTCATCCCTCTCCTTTCATTACCCTTGCTTGTCTTTTCTCCCAATATTTTGCATTCTTGATATAACATTCCCTCATGTTCCAGACAAAAAATTAATTTCTGAAATTTTAGACAGCTTAGAAACTGATTGATTTGCTAAAGGTTAGGTAAGTAGCTATTTAGAATCTTCTCCTTTAAAGATAGCAGGATTGGCTCTTTCCATAGTTTTATACAGTATCTATTGTTGGAAGTTACTATTGATTTATAAAGTACAAACAGCTTCAGATCTGGTGTTTTCAGCTACAGTTTCAGATAAAAAAAAACCCCTAAGTCCTGCAGTGCATCTGTAATGTAAAAGAACACAGGAAACAGCAGGATTTAAAAAATAATTTGAAGAAGATTAAAGTAGAAAATCATTGATCAACAAAACCAACACTGCAAACTATAGCCAGCAGGGGTATTCTTTTCCAAACAAGCACAGTCTTAGACATATTCCCTGGCTCACTCTCAGTGTCAAACAAAAACTAAAAAAAACCCTAAAAAAAAAAAAAAAAAGGAGGTGTATTGGGAAAATGGTTGAAGTATCTTACTGCTGTCCACTTTTACCCAAATCTTATGTAAAATATGGGCTAATAAAATAAGTTTGATTGATTTATACAAGCAAAAGTTACAATTAGCAAAATACATGGGAGAAAAATCAGCTTTTTTGTAACTTTTCTCCCCACTGACAATATGTATATAGCAAATCAATCTTACTAAAGCAGTGCAACTCAATTGTTAGCATATTCTACTATGTGTATAATCTTTGTGAGATAAGGAGTAAAAGTGAAAGCAAAAATCATCAGCTTAAATACTCTCATGAGACACAGATTTACCAATTAGAAATGTGCTTAATTGACTCACCTTGTGCTCCACAGTCACAACACACATCATTTCCAGTCATCCTCTGGACTTCAGATATAATTTCTTTTGTCAGCTCCTGGACAATATTATTTTCTCCTGTGTTATCATCTCCTTTGAATGCATTATTTAAAGCTTCCTCCTTGCTGTTTTGTAGCACAGATGTCCATCTAAAACGGCAGCAATATTTTCCTGTTAAATGTTTTGGCACTTTGAAGTTCAAGGTAACGTCTCAGTAGAGTAGCAATATCAGAAATAAAATTAGCAAAGTAACTCACATTTGACATTCTTGTTCATCCTCTGCTTGAAAGTGGTATGTCCTGTCATCTGCACAATAAATAAGTCACATACTGATTAAAAAAAAAAGATTGAAAAACTAGTTTTGCAGAAATCTCTCAGAAGAATCTAAAATTAATTGGTGTGTGACTCCTGAGGTCTCTAGTCTCATCACTGGAGTGCTGACAGGCAAAAAGTCTATTTAGTAAGTTTCACTCATACTACAGGTTCATCAGTCTTTACACCTATGTTTACACAAGGTGGCTTGTTGCTCTTCAAACAGAAGCTGCATTCTTCAGTGCTGTGCTTCTATCACATAAGCATCAAGAGAGCATAGTCATTTTCCATGTTCTAGATACAACCTCAGTAATCACAAGCCTAAAATTCTGCTGGAGGTGGTGGTCTGTGTGACTAATATAGTGACCATATTTGAGTTTATCTGTGTATGTAAGAAAGATGTAAAGTTTCCAAACGAGCTCTTAAAACCACAGTAATCAAAACTGACAAACAAATTTGACAGCCACAACGTCCAAACTAGAATCAGGATAAGCCCCAAGCCATTTCAATTAAATCAAGCTAAAAAATTTCAATTTACTACTATTTTTGTAATTCTAAGCATTTTTATCATAGCGTACTATTAAAGAAAAAAAGCATAATATATTTTAAAACTATGAAACAAATGAGATATGATACAGTTTGGTGACTGAGTTGAAGTTAAATTAGTACAGCTGATGAGAACGGGGGTAAAGCTACTGGCAAAAAGACATTCTAGGTTGAAAATTCCTACAGTTTGAAAAACATTCAGGCAAAAAGGTTTTAAAGATAGTTTCAAACATGGAAAGTGTTAAGAGAGTGAAGATACATGAAAGGACGGAAAGGAAATTAAACCATAAAACCATAGCGATATGGTTTAATGGGGATTAGGGATGGTTGGACTCGATGATCTCTAAGGTCTTTTCCAACCTAGAAATCTATGAATCTATGAATCTATGAAAGTGCTAGATGAAGAGTAAGAGATTTTACCTTGCCATGATACAGCAACTTGCAGTTTTTAAAAAACAAGGCATGTTTTTAAACTCTATAGTAAAACAAAGTGAAAAAGTGATCTGGAGAATGCTGAAAGGCCGGTTATGCCTTGTCATGTGTACGATGGGACAAATGATAATGTTGTGATAAGCTGATATTGGGCAAAATGTGACATGGTAATCAACAAAAAGTGCTAAACAGGGAAGACCACTTGCTTGTGCAGAAATGGAAAAGCTGTACAATGCATACACAAGTACTAGTCTATTGACATAAGTAGCATTTCTTACATTTACAAATAGAAAAGAACTTTATGCCCTGAAAAAGGAACAAATGAGGAAGAAATTTATTTATTTATTTATTATATTCCCAAATAATTTGAGATATATATTTTAGTAAGGCATTTTTATTGAGCCCATAAATATAATACTAAGATGTCCCAGTGTGAAAACAAAGGAAACATTCTACTAGACAATTTTGTATCATCCCATTCAGTTCCCCAAATTATTCAGTTTTTGTGTTTTTAATATGTAGACTTTTTATTTCACCTTCATATCTATTATGAGATAACAAAACTAAAAAAGTTTTCAGTATTTTCTTCACAGTTATATAGCAACCACTACACTTAAAATTTAAGTTTTGTCATGTTTTTCTGATCTTGTACAAAAGTTGTGACTTTCCAAGATGATCAGCTATGACATTTTCAATATAAAGAGTGATGTCACTGCAAAAATATGGTTACTGTATTGTAAAAGAGTTTTAAAACCAAGTGGTTTTCCAAAGAAACAGGTACAGTTAGTTGCATTATGCTAAAATAAGTGAAATGGTAAATTGTCATAGGAAGAGCATTTTATAAAGGGAAGCATTCTACAGTTGCAAAAATGTTTAAGTGGATCATTAACACATCTACAGAAATAAGGCAAATCTCTTTGATATTAGCTGCAAGTAAAAAGACCTAAACAACAAACCTACGTGATATGAGGTCAAAACACTTTTTCTCCTCTGGGTTTGTTTTCACTTGGCAGGTTAACAGATTGAGCTTTGCTGGAGGTCGGTTAGCCTATTTGAAGATAAAGCACATACATTTTATTATATTCATATTGACTGAGTCCTGCAGTCCAAAACCATAGCATAACATCCCACTGGCCAAAAAGACTTGACAAACGTCTGTTATTTTAATTTTTAACGTATCCAGGTTTTGATTTATGTTTTCTTCTGCATCGTGGTTTGTAAACTACATTTTCTTATATTTGGCTATTTTGTTCACTGATAACCAGATAGACACTAGAATTTTGGAAGGGGAGAGGGATAAAACCACTTTAATTATGACTCTCTGATCACTTTACCAGTAACACTTGCCTGAAGGAACTGGGTATGACAAAGAGATTAATTCTACATAAGTTTAATTCTCTAAAATTTAGAAATTTAGTTTTAAAAAAATTGATTGTCAAGGTTTTCAATAATCAAATATTTAGACTCCTGCTAATGTCTATGAAGAGCACCTAGATAACCAGTTTATAACAAATGCTCAATTTCTAAATTGCTAAAGGGACATGTTGAAGGAAAAGAAGTTTGCATGTAGAAGTCTTGCAGCAAACATACACAAAGCTAAACTGAGATCGTTTGTCAGCAAAAAACGTAGTGAAATAAAATATATTCTATAATGACATACGTTTTCCAGTCAAGTTCTTCTCAGCTATCTCTGTTCCTTATGAATAAAAAGTGGCAATGTTTTACTAGAAGCAAAATGCACAAGCAAACTTCATTTTGAAAAAGTCTCATAAAGGCTATAAAGACTTTTCAAACAGCATCTCTGCTCTAATTTCTTCTTTCCCTTAACCTGTCTGTCCTACAGACCCGCGGCAGGACCTAGTAAGATGCTGTTTGCAACTTTGACTCATGGAATGGCGTGCATTTGCTACAACGGATAACTAGTTTCACTCTTCTTTCAGAATAATTAAATCAGAAAGCAGATTTAACTAGTGAGGCTCTGCTCTAGGCAATAATATCTGAAAAATAATAACTTGTTTAAATCATTAGGAAACTACTGTTACAAAGATAGTGATAGACATAAACACATCACCACACTTACTGTTATGTTCTAACGATTTTAATCTATCAAGATGCTAAACCAAGATTTAATCATCCAAACAAGAACTACTATCGAATGAAGCTGAACTACCACATAACGTAACTAACTTGCAATGAATCATAAGCAATGTACATCTGCTCAATCACTTCCAAATTTATTGATGAAAACATTTCATTCAAAAATCAAAGGAGAAAAAGTCTGAAGAGTACAGATTTCCTTGAAACAATCTGATAAAACGATGTAGCTAGCCAAAAAAGAATATCAACATCATTATGTCTGAAGGCCAGTAAAAAAACAAAACCATGGAGAAACATAGGAGGGGAAACAATTATGGGTTTTTTTTTCTGTTTTTTTTTTTTTGGTGGTGGTGGTGGTTGTTGGGCATTTTTTCAAACAAAAAAAAAAGCAGCATGGTGTACTTGAAAAACAGCATGCTCATGCTTTGCCCAACATAAGCAGCAGACATAACAAAGTCATGCATGCTTTGAAACAGCAAACCTGCAGGTCACTTGCTGGCCAATGTAAAACAAATCGTACCCAGGAGAGGTTTTGGAGACAGCAAGATGACAATTAATTGACAACCACATTTTATTCTCTGCCTAGTAAATAGCTTTTCAAATTCCAAACATTCCTTTTAGTAGTAAAAGTGCATACAGTTTTCATTATTTTAGCCTATAAACAACTAGAGTTCTTTGTAACTAGAAGCATACAAGAAAACATCTTGAAAACACCAGCTTGGGCCCATATTCTTGGTTATATTTAAATACATTTAATATCCATAGCACTAAAGTTTCCAGTGTTTACATTTTTCATGTAACTGTCCAAGAAGTGTCCAGAAGCTGCCTATAACGAAAATACAAAATAAAGTAAACAAAAATCAAAATATAAGTACTCAGTAAACAAACCACTGAGGAACTCACATATACCTTTCTCACAGGCTCTTTGAGAATGTAAAAATGCAAGTAAACTCAGGTTAAGAAAGAATCCACTTGCCCCAGGACTTTGGATCTGAAGCACACTCAGGACCTAACTAGTTTTCTATAACTATGAAATATGAAGCTGTAAACGGATCCACTAAAACGCTTCAGAGAGGTCTGAAGGACCAATACACACAGAACTTGTCTCTCTGGATAGGAGAATGCAGCGTAAGAGCTCCATATCAGGATCTGAGAATCCGAAGAAATGGCTGCAACAACCTAAAACACCCCTTGGGCCTGGTCGTGGAAACGTATTTCAAAGCTTTTAACTGGGCACCTCCTAAACTGAAGTCAGCATTAACAAAGGTATTAAAAAACCCTGATGTCTTCGCACGTGCCTGATACCACCTCATTCATGCTTCTGTTCTGTAGCCGAGTAACAGCCTCCCCTCAACCCACCTCCCCAACATGTGCCTGCTACTTGGCAGACAACACGCTTCCCTCACGTGGCAGATGCCGCTTGGGAAGAAGTTAGAGCCACAAGACAAAGGGAGGCAAGGCTGTATACATTCCTTAGCCACACTAGGCTGTAGGGGGATCCAGACACTTGGCAGGAGTAGGAGACACTAGAAGTAGAAAATGGTAACAAATATCTAACTGCTATTACCCTATTTGTTTGAAACCTCTGAGCTTCCTTTTCCTCCTTGAGTTCTGATTAGACAATTAAATTTCAGACTACTGCTGAATATTTGGACACCCATGTTAACACACCAAGACCCTGAGAAGACATGCTGCCACCTTTCAGAGCACAGAGGCAGACTTCAGCATCTATTCATGATTCTTCCTGCAGAAACGGTAACCCTCTATCCAGCAAAACTGACTTATAATCTGTTTTGGCAACAAACAGTAAGTGTGGGAATCAATAGTGTAGGAACCTAAGACAATACCAAGGAGTGCCATGGTGCAGAGCTGATTTTTACAAAAGGCACCAGGCAAATATGTTGACTTACTTAACAGACTGGTTGGCTGATTTCATTGTGCATTTTTTGTGGATATAACAGTGATTTACTTAAGAACCAAAAGATTAAATCTGATTCTTTTGCCTTCAGATTGTCCTGTTAATCGTAATGGTAGATTAAAGTTTCCAGCAACAAAGAAAGAACAACAAAAAAAATACTCCTTGGTAAGGAGTCTCTCTCATATTCCTTTTTTGCACACAACTAGCAAATTCCATCTAAGCTCTTTAAACACAAATCAACTTTGAGAAATATGAGGTTCCTCACATGTAATTTTTTCCCTTGTGATTTCTTGATCTGGAAACCACTCAGGAATTCCTGTTTACATGGTTCAATCTGCTTCTATCATGTTTTTTTCATCCACGTGCATGAAATTGCAGTCAGGTAGATGTCAGAACATTTCCAACTGCTACTAATTACACAAAGGAGCAGCGTCTGTTTTTCCATCAACCATTACCTTGCACAATGCTTTATGAATGTTAATTTCTTTGAAGCTTTTAGACGTCTAAAAGTCTAACTTCTGCACATATGCCAATGCAGACACATGGATTGAGTGCTACAGCTGGGTGACTGACAGAGAACCATATTCTCCCCATCCATATCAGGAGAGCACTTGGCAGGCAAGTTTAAGTCAGAATATAGCATCTGCAACTGCCTGAAGACAGCTGTTCTAGAAACAAACTGAAAAAACAGTCCCTCATAAAAAGAGAGGCTACATGACCAAAGAACAGAAACCCATGAAGAATACTCAGCCTTTAAAGGAAAGGCATTTACAAATTTGTATTTGATAAAGAAAACAAAACTGACAACTGAATTTCAGAGAGATGGTTCATTTTGATAAACAGCTGGGAAAAGAGAATGTCTCATCATATTTGAGAGACCAGGAGATATCAACCCTGAGAAAGCTTGGAAATCAATGCTGTTGTTTCAGAAATCTCAGAAGACATTCATTCAGAGCAGCCCAGAAAATTCTTAACAAACAGAAATCGCTTCTACCCATTTCAACGTCCATGAAACAAGTATTTGTAACTCAAAACTGCCATCAATATATAAGGGGAAACTGAGCAAATCAGTAACAATATTTTTTAGGAGTATATTGTAAAACAAGAAAGTACTCTTTTAATTTTGTAGTATAAAAAGATCAAGACCAACCCTGCAAAACCCACATATCATAGAATAGTTTGCGTTGGAAGGGACTTTAAGGATCATATAGTCCAAGCCCCCCTGTAATGAGCTAGATCAGGTTGCTCAAAGCCTCCATCCAACCTGGCCTTGAATGTTTCCAGAGATGGGGCATTGACCACCTCTCTGGGCAACCTGTTCCAGTGTTTCATCACCCTCAGAGTAAAATATTTCTTCCTTATATTTAGTCTAAATCTATCCTCTTTTCAGTTTAAAACCATTACCCCTTGTCCTATCACAACATGCCCTGCTAAAAAGTTTGTCCTCATCTTTCTCATAAGCCCCCTTTAAGTACTGGAAGGCTGCTAGAAGGTCTCCCCAAAGCCTTCTCCAGGCTGAACAACCCCACCTCTCTCAGCCTGTCTTCATAGCAGAGGTGTTCCATCCCTCTTGCCATTTTCATGGCCCTCCTCTGGACTCATTCCAGCAGCTCCATGTCCTTCTTATGTTGGGGTCCCAGAGCTGAACGCAGTACTGCAGGTCGGGTCTCGCAAGAGCAGAGTAGAGGGGCAGAATCACCTCCCTCAGCCTGCTGGCCACACTTCTTTAGACGCAGCCCAGGATACGATTTGCTTTCTGGGCTGTAAGTGTAACATTGCCAGCTCATGTTGAGCTTCTCATCAACCAACATCCCCAAGTCCTTTTTCTCAGGGCTGCTCTCAATCCCTTTATCCTCCAGCCTGTATCGATACTGGGGGTTGCCCAGACCCATGTGCAGGACCTTGCACTTGGCCTTGTTGAACTTCACGAGGTTCACATAAGCCCACTTCTAGAGCTTGATCAGGTCCCTCTAGATGGCATCCCTTCCCTCAGGCATGTATCTAAACTCACATTTAAGTATCTACCTTAGCAACTGATTTCCAGCTACAGCTCCACTGATTTGAGTGGGAACTTACTGCTTCTAAAAATGTTAGACCATCTGGTAGACAGTTTATAAAAAGAGAAGAACAGTATCTTGGTAGACTCAGTAACTGTACTTGCATGTGAAAGTTAAAATTCTGCTCCACAAGTGGATTTTTGTAGCCTCTGCCAGCTCTGAGCTGCCCTAGCTACACTGCTACCGGTACTACTACAGCATGTCCAATGCCAAGTACATTTACAGCGCATAGAGACACCAGTATAGAAACACTAACAGACTTTTCTCTGACAAAGACACACTCTTACACACTCAAACAAGAACAGAAACTGGTGGACAATTCCAAAGCCACAGTAATGACTCTACTTTGCAGGCCTGGTTTTGCACTCCTCCTTAACTCCTGGTTGTCAATTCAGAAGGCAACAGCTTGCGGTTAGATGCACAAATGAGAGATTGATTCATTTTTGCTGCCAGGGTCAACTTGTAGTCATAGCAACAGGCATAACAGGATGAAGAACAGAATGGTTCATAACAGGATCAAGAAAGAGGACTGTTTATTAGACCAAGAATGGGAAACACAGTCCTCAGTTGATTTTCGCCTTAAGAAACTTTCATAAAAGTTTTGAGAAAGCAACATAAAAAGAGAAAGGTTATGGGAAAGCAAAACCAGCCAAGATCAAACCCAAGTATAAAAGGTGCAAAATATGAAAGCACAAAGTTTTAAAAATTTAAGTATAAATATTCAAAGTTTGTTAGTATGTCTCAAATATTGGTAGCAAAGAAAGAGGGACTTGTCATCCTGGTAGAAGTTGCCTTTAAAGTTGATTGCCCCCAACAGCTACTCCCCAGGAAAGCTACCTTCATAACAGATTATCATATAGCAGCAAACCTGGGGAAGAGGGGAGATGCAGCACTCTCTCAATTTGTCTTGTAGGTATAAAAAGTTGTTTAACCCATATCTAAAAGATGGTTTTAAGTCCAACTATATCTTTCAAAAAAAAAAAACTTATAATTTGTATTTTTAGATAGTCTGATAAAATATGAACGTTTACATGAACTGAGTCATTAAAAAAGCCATTTGTTTCCCAATTCAGTCATGAATATTAAAACAGTTGTATTTTTAGATACAGTGTATGTCTTGACACATTTCTGAAAGACTGCCTTAAAAAAATGTATGCATCATATTCAAAATGTTGCATCAGGAATCTAACTAATTCCAAATTATAAATATAGAGGAGCGTAGCTTGCTTTTTTCTATTAGTAACCATGTACATAAAATACTGTAAACAAATACTTACTGTACCATGGGAAATTGTAAGAAAACCATTTTTAACTGAGCACTTCCTTTTTTGCCACACTTTTCTGATTCTGGTTTAAAGGGAGGAAAAAAAAAAAAAAGTGACTCAGTTTTTAATATATTTAGTATTACACATTGCTTCAGTTCTCAGGACCTCATTTTTTTTTCACTAGAATCCAGTAGTACTTACCCATCACTCTTCTTGTACAGACTACCATTTCGTTCAGTGCCATGTTCCTTGTTTCCCTGAGGCTGATGTAAACTGTAAGCTGTACTCTGACGAATCTGAGAATCCTGAAATATACAGAACTGTAATTTATAATGCATTCCACACTTTCAACCAAAATATATCCCCTAATAATGAGTTTCAGAGCCTTTCCTTCCTGGTCTAATCCTGCAGGACAAACGAAGCATATTTTTCTTCCTCAATGAGAGAGAACAAGATCTATTTATTTTTTCAGAGGGCACAAAAACATTTGAGAAGTAGTCATTATCAGCACGTGCCAAATTTCTCTTACTTGCTTTCATTTAGCTTTACTATCGGCCTTAGTATATGGGGATTTTAACCTAAAAATTAATTGAGCAGCAGGCTTTCCAACTAATTCAAACACTGCAGTGTACAAACACTAAGGGTTATTATTACCTACAAAAACTTAAGAGCTATTAAGAAATAAACTTATAATTTGACAAAAAAAACTCTTTTGCTAAAAAGATGAAATAGTGTATCTCAGATATACTACTAAGAGGATGATCACAAGGTAATTTTGAGTTTTCAGAGTTTACATAAGATAAAATAAAATATACAGCGATCTAAAAAAGTATTAATTAAGAAGATAGTTTCCGTCTAATTACAGTTAGCTTCATACACTTTATTAGCCTAAGTATAAGACATCTCTGGATGTAAGCAGGGGCAAAAGACCAACAAAAAAAAAATCAAGAACACACTTGGAAAGTGCTTTTCCCCAGAGAATGCCAGCTCAGATGGAATGCTGCTCCTTTACAAGCTCCAGCAGAACATTCTGCTACCAAAGCTACTAATGCAGCGAAAGCTGGTCAGGATCCTCCTCAACAGTAGTGGCAAAATATGACAGGTAAAAAATATGATGTTGAGGACAGAAGTACCACCTACACCCCTGTTCAGTGCACTAAGGACCCCACATCTCCAGGCTGCAGGAATTCTGGCTCATCCTGAATACATTGCTGGAGCTCAGTGGTCCCGAGAACCACAAGGCGAGCTCAAGGCAGGCTGCAGCACTCCTCAGTGCTCCTTTTCAGCAGAAGCAACCTGTACCCACTTCCCTGTCTCTCAGCTAATGATCCAGGAAGCTATATCAGACAGCTACAACATTCATCTGAGACTTTTAAAGGCACTATGAAACCACCACTTAAATGTCTGTGCCTGACAAAGCATCCCTTCAGATTTAAACCAGTCTGTTCATCGTCCCTCTCCAGCCTGTTTACACAGAATTATTTGGCTTTGCACCCTGGCTTCGCAGCATAAAACCAGAACAACATTTTAAAAGAATTCTCGTTGCTGATTAAGAACTGCTGCTCGCATACATTTAGTGACTTCTGAAGAAAGTCTGACCTGACACAGCCTATTGTGTCCTATCAATGCCTTGATTTCTGCCTCCCATTAGTCAGTATAGGAACTCCATTCCCATGAAGATTAGAGGCCTTACAGGAAATTAATTTTAGTTCTCCACATCCTCAATTATGTAAAGATTTCAGATGACTTCCAACCCCTGTCCATAGCGCCATTCCCATTACTTAAGATTGTGCTGCTACTTTTTGTGCATGATTTTCTGCTGCATTTCAGCTACCTCCTTTAAGCTGCTGTTTACACTCAGCTGCTGTGTTTGGCCAAACCCCCAAGCCAATAATACAAGCTTCCTGCCTTATTCCAACCAGAGAGGAAGCTGCTGTAGCTGACGTCTATTTCCACACATTCATTACTATGAACAGTATCTTTAAAAAAATTAATACTATTTCATGGAAAGAACTAAGGACAAGACAAGGTGATTTGCAATTTTAAATCCTTGGTTCAGGTCACGTCCCAATCAATAGTGTTCAATGTGATTGCCAGATGATGGTTTTCCACAGGTCTCTGACGAGCAAGTTCATGACTTTGATCTCAGTCCTAACAGACGGGATGCAATATCACAAATCACCATCACAATTAACATCCTTCCGGGCAATTTCAGCATGCCTTTTCTATATGCAGGCTCCCCAAAGGATCTTCCCTTATTTCTGGTTTGCATATTGCACATAACAGGAGTATAAATCACAGACAACAGGGTCAGACCCAATGGCCTCATCAGAGGAGCAGGAACAACGTACATTACCTATGGGAGGAAACTGATCACGGCAGGATACAGGACATACCTAGCACAGAGTACTGTCATTTCAAATATTTCTTGAACATAACGAGATCAGAATTGACTGAAGTACACAAGCCTAAGAAACTGAACTTTGTCCAGTTTATCAGCTTTGAAATGCAGATAAGCATAAAAAAAAGGTGAGTCATTTCATTGCAGCATGTTTATAGTGAATCACTTCACTGACTTTTATAAAGAGGTTTGAAACAATTTCTTCCAAAGTCTTACAAAGACTGAATGACTTCTAATCAAGCTGAATAGCATAGCCAAAAATTAAAGAAATGTGAAAACACTATTCTGTAAAGATGGTCTGTAACTACCGATAAGAGAGATTTAAAAACCTATTTATCAGCCCCACTATTTGAACACAACAGCACCTTCCCTACGAGGTGCTTTAACTTCTACAGGGCAAATTTTGGCTAGACATTCCACAGCTCCCATGGAACAGGATTTTAGATTGTCTGGATCACTCCTGTGTGTAAAGCTGCCAAAAAGTCCTCACAGCTCTCCAACAGCCTGAGCTCCTCTTGCATTTGCAGGACGATTGCCAAGCGGATGTTTCAGAGATCCATCCCTTATCTATTACAGCCCCACAGAGTCTCCAACGATGTGTCTGCCAGAACCCCCTGCAGGCAGCCTCTCCTATAGCACAGCTACTGTAACTTTTGTCAAGAAACAAAATTTATCCTACTTTGCAGTGGCCTAAATAGATTACAGGTCTAACAAACATGTAGCAGCAGCAGAAGCTTAAACTTCTAAAGTTTACAGGGAAGCTACCTTCAGAGAGGACGTGGGAGAAAGAGAAATGAAGGCAATATGACTCTTAAGTTTGACTCTGAAACTTGTAGCAGCTCAACGGTTTGAAAAATAAAAACTTAAAAATTATGGAGGTGTACAGACAATGACATTTCAAAAAGAAGTTTCAATACAAATCCTGTTTGAGGAATTTCTGTGCAGGGGGAAATTATGTATATTCACACATAACAAACAAGGTTCACTATGAGTGTTTGTGTCTTTTTTTTTTTTAACACAACAGAAACATAATTTGTCAACATTCTATCATTTCACCCGTGAAGTTCACTTTAAATATATATATACACAGATATATCTCTTCAAAATCTTGCAAGAACATAAAATCAAGCAACTGGATTTAATTCCCAAAAGAGAGTGAAAAGGAAATCACCAATTTCTCTTACAGCAATTTTCTTTCCCGAAAACAATCTGATTTTTTTTTCTTTTTGGTAACACAACAAAGAGAAGAAGAGAAAAAAGAACCAATCTTTTCATACCAACAGAAAAAAGTTCAGAGGAAAAATCCAGTTTCTTGAAATCTGAATGGAAATCATGCCAACTATTTTCATTAAAACATAGTAACACTTACTCTCCTAGACTTCGGTCACAAAATGTAAATGCATTTCAGGAAGGAAAAAGAAAGCAGTTATAGTAAAGGAAATTACAGTGCGACAAGAACAATATTAGTGGGTGATACAGCAAATTATACCAGGATTGTTTGGCATCCCACTGATTAATTGATGTTTTCAAAAAACTTTAAAAATAATTATAGTACTTCTCATGCTCTATAGGTTAGCATCTATATTTGCAGAATTAATAAATAATGAATATAGCATAAAACAGGTCTAACACTTGTATTTTTGCATGCAACAGAAACAGTAGAAGTAATAAATTTATGTGTATTATTACATTTTTCAGTCTGTGAAAAGATATGTGCTCACCACATCTTCCACATACATTTAATATCAGTGTCACTGCTAAACAGGTAAACATAGGAAACCAACATTCCCAGCAAACACAAAAAGCAACTGCTTCTACTACCTCTCTTGAACAAAGACCCAAATAAAATAGGAAGCCTGCCAACACACTCTAAACAGCAAAGACTCTTTATTGAGACTGGTCAATCAATGAGAAGTCCAAAATAGTCACTATTTCCACCAGGATCACTAGTCTTTCATTCCACAGAGCTCAAATTTGGAAGTTTTTAGCAAATGCACCCCACAGTGAGACTAAATGCCAGGCAGAACCTAAGAAAGTGCCTGCAAACTGGATGAGTCTTTGTACACAAAGGTCATTATCACAAAGTTCACACGGTAACAGCACCTCAAAGTGAAGAAAGTTTAAGACTGTTCAAATACCTATCAGAAAGTCATAGAATAACAGAAAGGTCTGAGTTGGAAAGGATCTTTAAAGATCATCTAGTTGGGGCAGGGACAGCTTTCACTAGATCAAGTTGCCCAACAACCATTATCTGGCCATCTGTAAGAGTCAGGAGTCACCATAACTTTTATGGGAAGATGAAAGCAAGACCGGAAAAGATCAAGGAAGTCTGAGCTCTACAGACTAAACTACTTCATTGTGATCCCTCTCAAAGAGAATATGGAAAGGGGGAAGGGGGTTCATTCATCACATACTCATGGTCCACCAGTCACACAAAGGAAGCTGACTGGCATTTATTTATATGAAGAGAAAGCACTAGCAATCTGAAACGAAAGTAGACCCAACATTTAGGATTAGATTATTCAAAAAATGATTGCTTCCAGATCACAGTTTGCCAAATAAAACTACCCCAGGATTCTTCAATCTAACAGCAATCATAATGGAAACTCAAAAAATACTTATTTCTGAACCGAGCCAGCTCTTGCATGTTTGAAAATGGGCATCTTGCAGCAGAGTAGCAAATTATTGTCATTTTTGCAGATGATGACGAGAGGTGTTTTGGGATTTGAAGTTCAGTTTCACATGATCTTTATACAGTTTGGAACATTACTAATCAAGTCTCCTTGATACTGCCAAAGTTCTTCCATTCTCAGTTTGAGCAACATAGACCATTGTCTGTTAGTTCACAGTGCACCATCTTAACTATTTTGCAATATTGGTAACAAAAAGAAATTATTTTGCAATAAGTCTCACACGCTTTTAGTGGGAATTAATTTAAAAAAAACCCCTGTCTTTGTCTGAAACATTCAATATCAGTATCGAAACAAAGATGAATAAAAAAAAAGGAATTAGATGGCTGATAAAATTAAAATAACTCTATTTGAAACACTAACATTACATTAGAAGTAATTAAAATGGGTATTCCAAACTTAAACCACCTTATATGCTCACCTCTTTCTGGTCAACCTGGAGTGCCGATTTTAAAATATCTCTGAGTTGTGTTAATTGTCTTCTTTCCTCATCTTGTGCTTGTTTGATCTTGAATGAAGAAAAGCATGGGTTAAGAATAACATTATTGTTTCTTTTCAAAGCAGTTCTTCCAAACTTGCTACTTAATTGGTTCATTTTTCCAATAAATGTTCAGCAAGAACGAAAACACAACGAGAAAAGAGAACGTGATGAGTTTATTTTCTTTTATATCTTCAGAAAACTTGGTAATGGCTAGGATGTTGCTGGGTTAAGACTCTGATACTGCAGATAACACTGATATGGTGTTCAATTTGAAATATGTTATTTTCCACTTAGTCAGTAAACATTTTAGAGCAAAGGCTGCTTTCTTAACATTTTACACAGTGGGGTCCTGAACTGAAACTAACGCTTCTGGATACGATTTAAAACAAAATTTTACTCAAAAAAATCTACTCGAAACCTTAAAACACTGACTGTTAAAACAGTCAGCCAACCTGAACCAAAATGATCACAGTTCTACTGTAAAAAACTAAGTTTACAGCACAAATGTGAAAGGTTGCTAACTCACCGTATAAAGATCTGTCGAGAGTGTCTCAATAGAAGGCTTGAGACTTTCAACTGCTTTTAACCCATCCTGAAAGAAACTTAAAAAGAAAAACAAAAAGCAAACTTATTAAATTTTACTTTGTATTTTCTGTTTTAAAAGTTGCCAAAGGAAGACATGCATATTATTATGCCATGCCATAAACTTCAAAACATTAAACATTTATTTTTTATGCATCTTTGACTGATCCACCTCTTTATTTCCATCATAGCTTATTTTAACATGCAGAATCCACAATTAAATTCAGAACTGCCACAATCTACTGCCACGTTTTCCTCATTCTCACCTCAAATACAGGTTCTCACCTCACTTTTTAAAGGCCTAGAACAAGTAAAATTCATTTATAAAACAGCAAAAAAATAAAGCTCTAGTAGGTGTAAAATAATTCTTGGAGCCAAATAATTTCATGTCTGATGCAATCTTCCTACTAAAAGAAAACCCCTTTGTTTCCCAAGTGTTAATTATGGCCTACACGCAAAATGAATATGCTACATCTTACTGTCTCATATGTATTTTTTATTGGCACAGTAATGTTATCTATGCCAAGTATTCCAGCTCTTAAATAAAAAAAAGTGAGATTTAAAAAATAAATTTTAATGAAACCACAACTACATGCACACTTGATTAAAAATTGCTGCATCATTTGCAATAGAAAATATTTTCACTCTGGGAAGCAGACATGAAAGTGACAATAAACCACAGTATTTATGTTGTTGAAATTTCGATAAATGGACAGAGCAGATGAATGACATACTACAAGTGAAACTGATTTTAAAAGCAACACAGCTATATAGGAAAAAAGCCTACACAGATGCAGACCGGCCTTTCAAGATGAAAACTCACTGATTTGAACAGGTTAACAGCAGCTCTGTCAAGTTCATAGCTATGACTTTATTGCTATATTATTGATCTGCAAGACTACCATTAAAAAGTACATCATTCTAATGAGAGCTTTGTGTGTTATTACTGTCATTCAATTAATTAGAAAAAGAGTGATTCTTTCAACACTTTTATCTCACTGCTTATGCAATTTATTTTTCTTGAGCACAGAATTCATTTAGATCATTGCTAGATACACTCAAAAAAGCCCGTCAAAACTAATGGACCACTAACTAATAGACCAAACTAATAGCTCTGTTTCAAGAGTAGTTTAAGAAATGTGCCAAATCATTGTACAGCACTCCTTTGGAACAGACAATTATATTCTATGGGACTAGCTCAACCTCATGACGTGTTTCGGAATACAGTAACAAAAGCAATGACTAATCTATGACAAAAGCAATTTGTCAAAAGTGTCAAAAGACATCAGCAAGAACAGTTGAATCTTAGATTTATTTTGAAAAATATAGAGAAGTGTTATGATTATGTCAAAAGCTTAAAAAAACATTGCTGCAGTTATGGTGTAGATATAAAGAAAACTAAAACATACTTGCACTGAGCATGAAAATACTTGATCAAGTTCTGAAGCAAGTCCACTCCTTTTTTAATCTTGATTTCATTAACTTTCAGCAGGTACTGTTAAAACAGCAATTCACAAAAGAAAATTATTACTGCCACAGTATTTTTTAACATTTTATTTTCAGTTATATTTCAACAAGCTTTAATAGTTGCAGATTTAGAAGACCTAAAAGAGAATGCATCAAACATCGGCTTCAAGTGTTAGTCACACAAAAGCAATAGTCATGACTGATTTTTGATACCCTGTGGGGATACTTCACTATGATTAGTTCAAATTGTTAAAACATCCTTTATGGCTCCTAGGGGAAGCCTGTGTTAAAGAAAGCATAAAAGAGTTTGTGTAGTAAATTTAGGAACCCGTTCTTCAACCTACCATCCCATCTAGGTATCAATCTCACTAGCTGTTAAATTTATTGCTAAATAGATGTCATTAAGGAAGAAAGCAGTTCACTCAAAAAAGGTGAGAGGTTATTTTAACCATTTTTTAAATCTGCCTTCTGATTTTACAGTTTTCTCTATCAATTCCTTATACACATCAATTACAGCAAATTACAGTTTAGCAAGAGATTTTAAAAATCTACTTCCAAGTTAAAAAAAAAGTGCAATTAGTGTCCTTATTAGGCACCATTAAAGTCCGTATTAAGTGACAGCTACTCCCCTGAATGCCACAGCACAAAAGATGTCAGCCATGCAAGCAGAAATAAGATTGACCGAATATTTACCAGAATCCTTAACTGTCCATTATGTGCCAACAATTTTTAACTCCTGCTTAGACAGTGACCTCCAAGCAAAGAAGTAAATGTCTCCTTGGCAATGCTCTAATGCGTCTGGTTTTCCACTAACCACAGTACACCCTGAGTGTTTTAAGCCCGCTAAAATATAGCAGTATCCAAGTGTCACTTTCAATGTTGTATCTTTTTACGCTGGTTCAGGTGAACAGATGATTAGCCTAAATGCAGACACGTGCACTGCAGAGTATTTAGTTTGAAGAATCCCGTCTCTAGCTCCTGTTAATTTAAAATGGAGCTCCAGGCATCTGGTATTCGGTTCACTTTCACAATTTATAGAGAACTAGCCTGTACTTATGATACAACTTCAATCTATCACACTTATGGTTTACTAACAAAACCAAAACAAAGTCCTGTTTTATGACTATTCAGAGGTAACCAAGTATAAACTCCTTTCCCCCAAAATCAGAAGAAATACAAGATACACTTCAGCTATTCCACATTTAAGGTAACTTGATTCAATTTCATAGACTTCAACTCCGCAGTTTATTCCCACTGCAACTGACAAAGGTGAACTCCTCCTTTACTGTGACACAGGAAGAGAGAAGCATCTGTTCCTGGTTGTTTCTTGGGAAGGACACAGATGGGCAATTATCTGGCAACATCCATAGGTTTATTGGGTACTCAAATCCCTTTATCATTTTTTAATATTTTAGCCTGACCCTGTATAGGAATGTGAAGCTTCTCTACCAAGTATCAGTGCACGCAGTTACTAAAAGTGGTATTCAGGACAACTGCTGGTAAGCTATGTTGGCAGATGAGTCAAATTAGCTCTAATCATCAGAGTAAAAACAGCAGAAACACTCATGGTATATTTTTGAGTTAATGCACAGAAAGAACGAACACAGCAACCTGAATTTCCAACCATGGAACCCGACATGCCCTTAAACAAATTGAATCAAAAATATTCACATCAGATTTAACATACTGCAAAAATCACGAAGATTTCAAAGCAGAAACATTCTGAAAAAATCTTCAAAGACAACTGGACTCCATCCTTAGCCACTCTTTTTTCAGCACCAGCCCAACAGTGTGCTAGACTAAAGTCTCTCCTCATAGTAACGCGACAGCTGTCAGCATAGGGAACAATTCAGAGAATGATCTAGGGTTTAAATATAGTGAAGTAGTAGCATACAGGCTTATTTATTATCATCTCTCAGTGTTCAATTGAGCTTTGTAATATTTATTTATTCTACAATTTACTTGTTAACCAAAATTAGAAAACATTTAAGTTTCTTGCAAAGTTATGTCATCAGGATAAAAAAAACTGTTTTAGCAAATGGGGTCCACTAATAACTTGGCATTTTCCCTTAATATCACAGTTGCCATTAAACAACTGTGTTTTTAAAAATCTTCCTAAAAATATTCATATTATTAGAACAATATGAATTTCACGTTGAATTTTACCTCACACATCTGTAACTGGAAGAACCTTCTTTCTTTCTCCATCTCTTCTGCAATTTCAGCGCCACTTATTTCTGTACGGATCATCCCATGCAGCTTAGCATGCTCTTTTTTCTCCTTCTCTATTTTTGTACTGTAAGGAAAAGAATCAGTCAATGAAGTGAGAAATCCACAGCCTCTCAGGAAATCTGATTATTCACAAAGTCTACTGACAGATGCAGAGCCAAACTCTTGTAGCTTTGCATATGACTTACTTCCAGATGACATTTCATTTTAAATTTGACAATGACTAAAGATCAGCAATGACATACAGTAGCTGAAATCTAATTCAATCATCTGTTAAGATAATGTCCTGACAGATATCCCAAAAGAAGATACTAAATGACAGGAAGATATTAAGTTCTTGCATTGAAGAAAAAAAGTTCAGAAGCAAAAAAATGCATTTTAATTGAAAATTGAGAGGGACGTTTAATCCCAATTGACCAAACACTGGTTAACTGAGTTCAATTATGTCACCAGATTTATTGAGTCTTGCCTGTCATCAAGTCATCTTCTATATATACAGAGTTTCCTAAGCCAAAATCACAGTTGCCATCTCTACTTGCTACTGAGCCAGTTGGCACTGGGAATGCCGGCCAGCCGGCTCTGTTGCAGACTTCAAAGTCTGCTAGACCAGCTGTCCTAATTCCCTAAAAGTTTCCATTAACATTTTCCAAGAGCTCTGAATAAAACAGGTTCTCCTGCAGAATATAAATGAATAACCAATGCCTGCCATACAGTATAACTCCCCTAAACACACTTGTGCATGTTACAGATATTCTCTATATTATTCCTAAAGGCAGTGGCATCGGACAAGCCTGATACGAAAAAAGATATTAATAAAAGAAAATACATGAGGGTGTTTGCTTTACTGAAAAAGACTTTTAGGTTGCCACTTGTACTGTTTAGAAGCTGAAAATTCTGGAAAGAGCTTCCTGAGGAAATGCTACACTGCTTTTGGACAAGAGGAAGCATTACACAGAAATACAGGAAGCAGATGAGAGGAACAAATAAGACATGCGCTCTCGTATCTCCTCTTGGGCACTCAAGTGTCTCTCAGCTCTCTCTCTGCAAAGATGACATGTCTCAAGTGCTCTCTTAACCTGATGTTAACATTATCCTAACAGCTTATGGGAAAACGTCCTAGATGATAGTCTAAGGACTTCCAGTCAACAATATATTCTGTACTTATACTTCTCAAGAATGAGGAACTGCCTCTTCTTACACCTCAAGCACCAAGGGAAAACTAGAATTAATCCCATTAATCTCATCCCATAACATTCCCACAGGGAAAGATTTTGAACAGCAATTCAAAAAGCCGCACAGTGTGCTCTTGGTACTGGCAGGCAGACAGAGCCAGCCCCCATGCAGTATTCCAGCAGCCAGCACATCCAGCCAGCACTGCGCTCCTCCTCAGCCCATCACGTCCAGCCAGAAGCAGACGTTCAGAGGGAAACTCCTCTCCTTTGAAATAAATATTCTGAAAACCTTCACTTGCCTGAATAAAAACTCAATTCCAGGACGCTCTGTTTACATCAAAAATAAGTCTGTACTCTTACCCACTTACTGCCAATTATGCCATTCTGTAGACACAGAATACAGAGTCCAAACACAAGAATTAACCAGACATCAACCATAAACAAGGAAGAAAAACCATTACAAAAAGATTCACAGAAAATGTCAAATACACAGCCCTTTCTAGAACACACTCCAGGAGATTTTACATTATTATCACACTTGATAGCTCTAAAAGAGTCAAACCACTGAGGAAAGATCCAGGATGGCTTTAGCCCTCTCAATTTCCACACTAATCTAACAGTTCATGAGGCCAGAAAATTCACTGAAATGTGAGTCAAGTCTAATAACTATCATTTGCTGTTGTATTGTATTTTCATTGTTTATAGAGAACAATACTCAAACATAGGATTACATAACCACCCCTAAAATTCTAAGAGCTTATTAACATGTCATAAGGTGTCTCTAAATGCTAGTTAAACCAAAAGACAATTAATACTGCCAAAGAGTCAAACATTACGCAAAATATTGCAGCATACATTATTTTAAGAAACTGAATTCCTTTTAAAGAACAATTTTAGTGAAAGAGTCCCTGCTACTCTTTAAAGGCTAAATCACACTGCACAGGTAAAAAGCAGTTAAACCAAGACTAAAGCATTACCAACAGCTACCAAGTAATTCAGAGAAATAAGACATCCTTGAAGCCATGTGCTGGAGCTTCAGGCTCCACGGCTTCAAAACGTTCAGACATGTTTTACAAAAAACCCCAAACCATCTCGTGGTGACAAGTACCAGAGATATATGATGGTGCATTTCACATTTGCATTTCCTTATTATTTATGCTTTCAGTCCCAAACTACGTTTTCAGCTTTGTAATCCAGAATTTAACCTGTTGTTTTGCTACAGTAACATGCTATCTTCTATTCGATTTATGCTACAGGGCACTTTGTTTCTAGGGGAACAAAGAAGCCACATACAGCAGCGTTTCATGCAAATCTTCTAAGAGCTAAAGGTTGGCTGCGTTTCCTATCCAAACGCAAGGGCCAACTCAGCTTCAAGTGTCACTCTACTGTGACTTTAATCAAATCCTTCTGGCAAAAACCAGTTCTACCATATATCACTGTGGGATTTCCAAATATTGCAGAGTATTCAGGTTTTCCTGGCAGATCAATTAAGCAATAATTAATAAAATTGGGAAAACTCTAAAAAAATCCTCTAGAAGCAATAAAAGAAAGCAATTGTTTTGTAAAGCTGCTGTTGTTGAAGCTCATGCAGCACATATCACACATATAGACTTTGCTGACTAAGATTAAAATCTGCGCACGCTTCAGTCCATTTGCAATGCAGCTGCACATGACTAATAATGTGAGCTCAGATTTGTGCAACAGACAAGTAAAGCTGAAATACAGGATGAAGAATTACAACAGAAAAGTCGATCAGATACAAAATAAAGTCTTGCTCATTCACTTTCCACAATATGACTATTTTTACAGTTCCAATTTGAAAAGAAACTGTTTTTCAATACAAATTTTAATCTGTATTTCAAAGAAATCAATTTTGGCATACAGATCATGGTATAAATAAACATCAAAGTAGGAATTTTTTTAAAAAACTTTCAAGAAGATGGGACCTATTTTCCTGTTTAACATGTCAAAGACTGGCATTTATTTTCAGCCAGTGAATGAGGGTAAACAGCTAGAACACCCTGTGTACACGCAGCAGTAGTGAACTGGGTGGCTGGGCAGCAACTCTTATCTTTTTTTCTCTCCTTCTCCATATAGTAGTAAGTTGGCTGAGTCTGGGTATGTACATGAGAAGGTGCAGAGACTGGGAATAGCTCCTGGAAGGCAGACTTGAATGAGGAGCACTCTGGAAAATGGAGTGCTTCTGAGGGCTATTTTGTTTGACAAAATAATATTATACATTTTCATTTCAAATATCTTTTCTCTGTCTAGTCTTCCTTTTCAGTCTGACTCTACAATTTCAGCTCTGGCATGCTAGCCTTTCAGTGAAAAAGCCTCCATCTTATTTTATCTTGCTGTCTGTCAAAGTTGGCAGTAAAGCACAACTCTCTCTTATCAAGCAAGTCCTGAACAGAGAAATCATCTTTTTCGTTTGGAAATGTTGGAAAGTTTTTTTCCCTTTCACTCATCCTGCGCTAGAGGATGGGGGAGAAGAGGGCAGAACAAGCAAAACGCATCCAAATCTTTCCAGTATTTCATCCATAATATCTGCAGATTCATTCAAAGCTTCTTCCATTTAATTTGCAGGTCATCTCTTTCAAAATAAAAATAGTTAATATGAAATCTCAGACTCAAAGCAGTATACTGCGGATGTTGTTTATCTGGACTTCAGTAAAGTCTTTGACACCATTTCCCATGGCATTCTCCTGGAGAAACTGTCTGCTCATGGTTTGGATGGGTGTACTCTTCACTAGGTAAAACCTGGCTGGATGGCCAGGCCCCCAAGAGTTGTGGTGAATGGAGTTAAATCCAGTTGGTGGCTGATCACAAGCAGTGTTCCCCAGGGCTCAGTATTGGGGCCGGTTCTGTTTAATGTCTTTAACAATGACCTCAATGAGACGATCGAGTGCCCCGTCAGTAAGTTTGCAGATGACAACAAGTTGGGCAGGAGTGTTGATCCCCTTGAGGGTAGGAAGGCTCTACAGAGGGATCTGGACAGGCTGGAGCGATGGGCTGAGGCCAACTGTATGAGGATCAACAAGGCCAAGTGCCGGGTCCTGCACTTAGGTCACAACAACCCCATGCAACAGCACAGGCTTGGGGAAGAGTGGCTGGAAAGCTGCCCAGCGGAAAAGGACCTGAGGGTATTGGTCAATAGCTGGCTAAATATGAGCCAGCAGTTTGCCCAGGCGGCCACGAAGGCCAATAGCATCCTGGCTTCTATCAGAAATAATGTGGCCAGGACGAACACGGAAGTGATTGTTCCCCTGTACTCAGCACTGATGAGGCCGCACCTCGAATACTGTGCTCAGTTTTGGGCCCCTTACTACAAGAAAGATATTGAGGTGCTGGAGTGTGTCCAAAGAAGGGCAGCAAAGCTGGTGAAGGATCTGGAGCACAAGTCTCATGAGGAGCAGCTGAGGGAACTTGGGAGGAAAGAAGGCTCAGGGGAGACCTTATCACTCTCTACAACTACGTGAAAGGAGGCTGTGGCAAGGGAGCTGTCAGTCTCTTCTCCCAACTAACAAGTGATAGGACAAGAGGAAACAACTCCAAGTTGTGCCAGGGGAGGCTTAGATTGGAAATTAGGAAAAACTCGTTCACCGTTAAGAGTTGTCAATCATTAGAATAGGCTGTCCAGGGAAGCGGTTGAGTCACCATCCCTGGAGGTATTTAGAAGATGTGTAGATGTGGCACTCAGGGACATGGTTTAGTGGTGGACTTGGCAGTGTTAGGTTAAGGGTTGGACTCGATGATCTTCAAGGTTTTTTCCAATGTAAATGATTCTATGATTCTATTCTACGATTCTATATTAAAGCTACTTTATTCTTTGCCACTACTTTCACTTTTGTCTTACGTACATGCTTGAAAAGGAAACATGGCAGAAATATCTACA